TACATGCAAAGCCTGTCTGCGTCTGTTAGCTTTATTTTGTCTTTTTTTCAGTTTCTATATATTGAAAGTCCCTCGTGTGCCCATGTATGCTTCCTATTTGCGTTGTTTCTTATGTTAATATTGCATATGTCTTCCTTAAGATGTTAAGGAAGATAGTTTTTGTAGAATCTTTCGGATATATTTATTATGAGTTGTTTAATAGGAAGTATGCAGGCGTTGTCATGCATGTCCGTTATCCTGGTAAACCTTCTACACCCAAGGATTAGCCTCAGACACCTGTTTTGAATGATTTGAAGTTTATTAAAGTGTGTTTGGGCCATTGAAAAAAAGATTGGACATACATACGTTAAAATGGGTCTGATTATTTGCTTATATATTAGCATCTTGTTTTGTTTGGAAACTTTGCTGTTTCTAGCTAACATTGGATAAAGGGTTCGGATCATCCCTGTGGCTTTACCTACCCTATTCTTTATGTGACTGTTGAACGTTAAAGGACTCTGTCAGAAGCTGCAACGGTACTGGGAAGGCCCTTGCACCGTCCTAAAGAAAATCAACGATGATCTATCGCATTCAGTTGTCAACGAGAAATAAATCCAAGGTAGTTCACATTTAGAAGTTAGCGCCATACCGTGGTTCAGATCTTCCCCGTTGGCTCGAACCAGATCCCAGTAATCAAATTGTTCGGGGCGAATAACTAGAAAGGAGGGTGCAATAATACGCAGCACCCTGCAGTAGCCTGCGGCTATCATAGGAAACGTACAGATAGAAAAATAAGTGAAATGTTACTCATCGCTCTACAGTGTGCTGCGGTTGTCATAAGTAAAAGTACAAGTAAAAGAAGATAGAATATTCCAGAAATGTTCAGAAATGTCATTACCCGTCAACAATATTCTAGATGACAGTTCGAGAAAGTTTAAGAAGATCAAGCAAGCTATATAAGTCGACGACCTGACGTCAGAGGGGGAGTTTAATGATAGACGTTACATGTTAATGTTAATGTTATTAGTTGTACAGGGTTATTCATTATAAATTACCCACCCCTTAGCATCGTTATTATTGCCTATGGAAAAAAAAGTTTTAAATAAAAGTTGTGTGGTTATGACTAAATTTCGTTCAAATGCTATTAAAAATGCAGTAGCGTGCAGATTTTAGGGGATACGCAGGAATAATTTTTTTTTATTAATGGAATACCCTGTATATTATTTATTTTTTAGAATAATCCTTTCTTTCTGATTTTAAAAATATATATATTACCCCCACTGTATGCCGTTTTTTAGGTAATAAACGTCAAGTATCTTAGTTAAACTTACCCAACCCTTATCATCGTTTTTATTGCCTATAGATAAAAAAGTTTTGAATAAAAGTTGTGTGGTTATAGCTAAATACTGTTAAACTGCTATAAAAGATACAGTACCGTGCAGATTTCAAGGAATACGAAAGAAAACATTTTTAATGATATACCCTGTATATTATTTAATTTTTGGAATGATCCTTTTTTTCTGATTTTAAAAATATATATGTTACCCCTACCGTATGCTGTTTTTGAAGTATTAAACGTCAAATATCTTAGTTAAACTGTATATATGGAAAAGCTAACATTATTAAAGTAAGCTATGAAAATGACAACTATTATGATTGACAAGTGAGAATTATTTAATTAAATAAAATGGTTTACGGCGAGGAAGAAAAAGTCCAAATATTTACTTGTTATGTAAAAAATAACAAAAATAAACGAGACGCACGAAGAGATTATAGAATGTTGTATCCAAATCGTCCAATACCATCAGAAAATACGTTCAAAAATATTTACCAGAAGGTGAATAATACTTCTAGTTTTAGTAGAAAAATCCGTGTAGTTCAAGCAGGAAGAACAGTTAGATATACTGCTTCATTTCGAAGGTAAACCCATCCATATTTATTCGCGTATAGACTTTTTTGAAACATTGTTTTTTTTTTTAGAAAATTCTAAATGTAGTATAAATAATGCCGTCGATCAATTAGGCAAAACTTATTTCAAAATTCAACGTACAGACCATATAAAATTTTATCCGTACAAATTTTAACGGAGGATCATAAAAGAAAAAGTTTTGACTTTTGTCGCCAGATGATTCAAATATTGGATGAAGATCCCGATTATTTTAATAAAATATTATGGACTGATAAATCATCCTTTTCTACGGCAGGAGTTTTTAATAGGAAAAATCGAAGGTCGTGGGAAAACAAGGACAACAGAAAAAGATTGGTAAAAAAAATCAGGAAAAAAAAACTGTTAGCGTTTGGTGTGTAATTTTTAGAAACAAAATAGTTACGATTATAATTTAACTGGAGTTACCTATCTGGAAATACTTATTCCAGAAGCAGAAGATATTCTTTTACAGAATTTTCCGGAAGACGAACTAGATCATATGATTTGGATACAAGATGGAGCAACTCCGCATAGTGTCGCACCCGTTAGAGATAATTTTTATAATGTATTTCCAGTATGGATAGGGAATAATGGAACTATCAAATGGCCACCTAACAGTCTGGATTTGACCCCTATGGATTCATTTGTTTGGAGATATAAAAAAGACATTGTCAATAGCAATAATGATAATAATAGTATTGAAGCCATTAAAGATAGGATTCTACTTGAAATAAACAATCTGAATATGAATAATGAAGCCATTGCCAGGGCAATTATAAATATAAGAAGACGTTATCAATTATGCATTAATAATAATGGTGGACACATCGAACATCTTTTATAAGTTATTTATATTTCCTAAATAAATCTTTGTTCTTTATTTTGTATATTTTTCCTTACTCTAAACAATTTTATTAAATTAAAGAATTGTCACTTGTCAATCATAGTTGTCATTTTCATAGCTTATTTTAATAATGCTTTTTCATATATTGGTTTAACTAAGATATTTGACGTTTAATACCTCAAAAACGGCATACGGTAGGGGTAACATAAATGTTTTTAAAATCAGAAAGAAAGGATCATTCCAAAAATTAAATAATATCTAGGGTATACCATTTAAAAAAAAAATATTTCGTATTCTTTGAAATCTGCAGGGTACTGTATCTTTTATAGCATTTTAACAAAATTTAGTCATAACCACACAACTTTTATTCAAAACTTTTTATCTATAGACAATAATAAGGATAATAAGGGGTGGGTAAGTTTAACTAAGATACTTGACGTTTATTACCTAAAAAACGGCATACAGTGGGGGTAATATACATATTTTTAAAATCAGAAAGAAAGGACCATTTCAAAAAATAAATAATATACAGGGTATCCCATTAATAAAAAAAAATTATTACTGCGTATCCCCTAAAATCTGTACGCTACTGCATTTTTAATAGCATTTTAACGAAATTTAGTCATAACCACACAACTTTTATTAAAAACTTTTTTTTCTATAGGCAATAATAACGATGCTAAGGGGTGGGTAATTTATAATTAATAACCCTGTACCGTTATTGTTAAAGTTGAATTGAGTTATTGTAAAGTTGAGTTAAAATAAATTGACACCAAAAACCTGCGTAACAATAAATATTTTAAAGTTAGAGAAGAAAGAACAACCTACTGGACCTTTATTAATGTTATGGTAAAAAAAAACAAATATGTTGTAAGGTAAAAAGTACAAGTTAAGTTTAAAATAAATCATCGAAACATAACAAATTTACCCATAGCTGTTTTTTTTTTATCCAAATACCATTTACTCCATAGTCAATTGACTAAAAATCAAGTAGCTCTGCTCTCCGGCAGTTATTTCAAAATTTTAAAAGCAGAGAATAGTCCAGGACATTTAGATCAAAGTCGAGCAGAATAGCGGAAATTTTTAGGGACAGCAGATACTGAGATGCTGTTTTCTGCATTGTGTTCAGGAATGTCGCAGGAAAAAATTCTATATCGTCTGTTTTATCCATTTTTAGAAAAATGCGTTCTGGGCCGGAAAATTTATTTCAGAAAAATCGCTCGGAAATCATTTCTTGGGGGTTTCGGGGCTGCTGGACTTGCTTCTGGCATTATAATTACCCGGGGGTGCACGAGGGTGGCTCTGCGGGGGTGCGCGGGGGGTGAATTAGGGAGAAATGGCACCGTGCATGAAAATCGCTCCAAACTCTTTATTCGGGGGTTTTCGAGGATGCCGAATCCAATTCTGGCATTGGAATTACCCGGGGTTGGCTCTGCCGGGGTATCCGGGGTCATTCTGGGGTAAACTGCACAGTCCATGGGAAGCGCTCCAAAGTCGTGACTCGGTGGTTTTCGGAGATGCCGAATTTAATTCTAGCATTATATTTTCCCCGAAGCGCTCGGGGAGGCTCTGTGGGGTTATCTAGGGGTGATTGGAGGGGAAATGACAGCGTCCATGAAAATCGCTCCAAAATCGTTACTCGGGAGTTTTTGGGGATGCCGAATTCAATTCAAGCTTTAGAATTATCCGGGGGTATAAATAATAAAATGTTTAATTAAATATTAAATAAATACATATTACACATATTATAAAAAACATTGCTTTGGAAGTCTTTTGTGCCTCGAAGCTGGATTTGAAAAGGACACAAAGCTATAAAGAGAGTAGAGTATCGTTACCACGGGGACCGGCGCGAACAAAAATATTATGTATCGACTGAAGAGAAAAAATGTGGGTCCAGTTCTCGCGCGCAGTCGGCGTCTGTCTGGCATCAGTATTACATCTGTCGTTGAGGACCACGTTGTTTTATCGTTGTATGTAAATACAGTGCTACAGTCATCAAGTTTGTTGGATTTCGGACCTTCTTTTGGTGTTTGAGTTCAATTCGGCACTTTTATACCACGTTGATTTTTTGTTATATGTAAATATAGTGCTAAAGTTATCAAGTTTTTTGGATTTTTGACCATTTTTGGTGTTCGAGTGGTATCTGGCACTCTTGTACCACGTGGGTTTTTCGTTATACGTGAATACAGTGCTAAAGTGATCAAGTTTTTTAAATCTGCGATTGAGCTCGTCCAAAGCTATAGAGCAAAAATGTATGCTGAAACCACCAATTTTAAAAACGTCGATCTTGCACGCATAATCCTGACTTCCAATGCGTTAACAGAGCATATCAAGCGCGTCTATTTCCAAGTACAGGCTTGGTATGGTTCACAAGGTCAAGATGAGACCTTAGATCCGTTGGAATGGGGGTGGGAGTTGGTAAATGGAGAGCTCAGTCCTGTCACCATGACCCAGGAAGCCGGTCCCGAGGAAATATTAGGCAAAATTTCTTGTTCTTGTAAAACCGACTGTGGCACGAGGTGCGGGTGCCGCCGAAGTGGGTTGGAGTGCTCATTTGCATGCAAGCATTGCGATGGCAATTGCTCAAACCAAAAAGGCACTTCCAACGGGGCCGAGAATAGTGACTAGGAAGAAGATGAAGAAGGGGAAGAAGATAAAGAAGGAGAACAAGAAGAAGAGTTTAAACAAGATTTTTAGCATTAAAGTTAAAAATTTAAGTTTATAATGAATAATTCAACATTAATAAAAACTTCTATTTGTTATTTGATTAAAGTATTTTTTCATAATTTGTGATTTTTCACTTTCTCCTTTACCATTTCCCACAGAGCCACCCCCGAGCGCCCCCGGGGAAGTCCAATGCCAGAATGGAATTCGGCATCCCCGAAAACCCCCGAGTAACGATTTTGGAGTTATTTTCATGGACGCTGCCATTTCCTCTTCAATCACCTCCAGACAACCCCACAGAGCCACCCCTGAGCGCCTCCGGGAAAATTCAATGTTATAATTGAATTCGAAATTTCTGAAAACCCCCGAGTAACGAGTTTGGAGCGATTTTCATGCACGCTGCCATTTCTCCCCCAATTCACCCCCCGTGCACCCCCACAGAGCCACCCTCGTGCACTTCCGGGTAATTATAATGCCAGAATCGAGTTCGGCAGCTCCGAAAACCCCCCGTGTAATGATTTCCGATCGATTTTTCCGAGTTTCCAGTCGTTTCTATAATGGTTCAAGTAATGATGCAATTGGAAAATGCATTTTCCGGCCCAGAAGGCATTTTACAAAAAATGGCTAAACCAGATGATATTGACTTTTTTTCTAGGATCTTCCTGAACGCAATGCAGAAAACTGCATCTCGATATCTACTGTCCCTAAAATTTTCCACTGTTTTTCCTAACTTCCCTGGACTAGAATTTTCAAATAAAATTGTTAGTTACATTTATTTAATTGCCAGTCTCGCAGTTAACATCTGATTCGAATGTAAAACTCCATTTTTACAAGAAAAGTTATAAAACTTCTAGTGCCCTTTTAAGACGTAATTTTCTGCGAACATTTAATTGGGAGTTGAATTTCTCAATAAGAAAGTTTTTAGTAGTGTTGGAAGTTGCCCGGATTTGACGTTCGATTGAAGTAAGTTTGTATATAATGTTTTTTAGTAAAACTGCAATTAAAACCCCATTATAAATTAATTTATTAATTTATTTATTTATTTATTTACGGACAAAGCCCAATTCAGTTTACATACAATAAAATACAATATAAAATAAAAAATACAATAAAATAGAATAGTGATATCATAAAAATTAAAAAAAAATATAGAATAAAATGATTAGATAAAACAGTGGACATTAATGTACAAAACAGCAAATAAATTACAATGTGTTAAATGTAAACTATGGAATTGCTTGAGACGTTTAAATATTCAATGTAAGTAAGTGGTTCTTAAATCCTTGAACAGAACTGTTAAAAAGTCGAATATCATGAAGAGAGTTAGCTAGTCTAAGTGTTCTAGGAATAAAAGTATTAAACGCGTAATTGTAACGGTGAAGAGGTACATGGAATGTTTGAATTTGTCTAGTAGTACGTGACGGCACAAAAAGATTAATTCTGGAAAGGAGGTCGGGGCAATTACACCTGCCATTGATAATATTGGACAGTATGGTAAGATCTTTTCGTTTCCTACGAACTTCCAGAGAAGGTATGTTTAAATATTATTGCAATTCCGCATAATTGTAATACATGTTAAACTTGAATGCTATGTATCTAAGAAAATTGTTTTGAACTCCATCCGGTTTACTTTTATGAATTAAGTAATGTGGGAACCAGACTGAGGAGCAATAATCAAGTTGTGTCCTAACTAAAGAGAAGTATAGCATTTTAATTGTGTTTATATTAGTGAAGTCTTGAGTTGTCCTCTTGACAAAGCCCAGCATTTTCATTGATTTTTGAACTGTAGCAGTGATATGGCCATTAAAGCTCATGGAAGAGTCAAAGGTGATCCCTAGATCCTTGATTTGATCGACAGGGTCCAAAACATGTTGAAATAAACTATAATTATAGTTATAATATATTAATAATATATTATATAATTATAATTAAATTAATTGATTTATTGTTTGACTTTCTCAGTTTTTTTACTTTCCTATCTGTATACAGATAAGGAAAGTATAGGAATCATGATTTTTTTCGACCACCAGTTTTCAACGGATTTTTACGTTTTGGAGTCCCTTGAATCTGTTTTGACTATTTTCGGGATGATGTATGTGCGTGCGTGCGCGCGCGCGCGCGTGTGTGTGTGTGTGTGTGTGTGTGTGTGTGTGTGTGTGTGTGTCTGTGTGTGTGTGTGTGTGTGTGTGTGTGTGTGTGTGTGTGTGTCTGTGTGTGTGTGTGTGTGTGTGTTTGTGTGTGTGTGTGTGTGTGTGTGTGTGTATGTATGTGTGTGTGTAGTGTATTCACCATAACTCATGAACCGATACAAAGAAAAACTACAAATTTTAAACCTAAGCTTAATTTCGGCGTCCAATGAACTGACTGAATTTTGGGCAGAGTTGGAACATCTGGGGGGGGGGTACTTTATAGGTGGTCATTTTTATATTTTATAGAATATATCTGTTATTTATGTTTGGAAAAAAAAATTAAATAAAAACTACGTACAATATTATTATCAATATTTTTTGTTATACACAAAATTTTCCTAAAATGGTCCGTATTCGAAAAATTTGATAAAATGTAAAAAAATATTTTTTTATAAAAATTGTTTAAATAAAAGTTGTCTGTAATATAATTTTCTATAATTTTTATTCTATACATAATTTCTCGACAAAATTCCGGGAACGTCAGAGAACGATAACAATCTGGGCTCCATTGTTGAAAATGCTCAAAATTATTACGTGCAAATCGTTTTGGTTGCCAAAACAGTCAAATAATTCAACGAAAAAGAAAACGCATCAATATAGAGCCAGATAAAAAGTGTTACAACCGTTGACAGCAGTAGTTCAGATGAAGCTTTAGACATGTCGAAGTCAAATAATACTTCAGTCGATGATTCAGCTATAGAGGAAGTAGAATATGCGCATTCCGATCCACAACTTTTATTACCAGAATGTTTTGTTTCGGTTCATTTCCTTGGGGGAAAACGACGTTCCATGCAGTACAAATATGTCTTTAAAATTCAGTCATAATTTTCAGAAACTGAATGTACAGTGGTTGGATATAAGTCCACAAACCAATAAAAAACAGTATTCAAGCTTATGCCAAAGGATATATCGACAGTGCCATTGTCAGATATTTCTGCCATATTACCCCGACCAACAAATGTTGATGGAATCGCTGAGATAAAATTTGAGAAGAAAGTTGATATGCAGGAGCTTTCAAAATGATTTAAACTTTTAAATACCCAAAGAACATTAATAGCCAAATAATAATATTTTACATAGTTTAAAATGTTAGGAAAGTTAGTTATTAGTTCTTGTCATAAAAAATCTTTGATTTAGGTATTTATTTTTGTATGAAGGTACTTTTTTGTCTTGTGTGTAAGTAAATTGTAGTCTAAATCATTCCAATCAAAGTCGCCCTCAAAACAAAATTTGATATTAGAGCAGCGATTTCGTTTCTTTGAGCATGTCACTGGGTATATGAAATCGCATTTGACGACATGTTTTTGTGGTCTCGCATTTTGTAAATCGAAAAAAAGTTAATTAATTGTATTAAAAAAGAATTTATATTTTTTTTGTTTCCACCATAATATCTTTAAAACTAATAAAGATACTGAAATTATTTTTGTATCAAATTAAAGAATACATTGTAGCGCTATTAGCAATACAAGCGGATTGGTCTCAATTCCCACTTTTATTTATCTAAAAATCAAATAAAGTAAAAATGTATATTTTATGTACTCTAAAATTTTCACCAATCGGCAATTTTTTTTTTTTTAATTTTTATATACATGCTGCAAAGAAAATAAGGACTATGCATCGTAAAAGTTTTTAAAACCATTACTATTTTCCTAAAGTGTATCGTTTGGCAACAGCAATTTTTTTTGTAGCGCACTAAATAAGTCAATGGATTGCAATTCGCTCCGCAAACATGATATAGGACGCCTAGTCTAAGTAGAGGCGATTGACGTTGTACATTGTTTGCTGTGTGCAATTATTTCGTTTTTGTTAGACAACAAAGTGCATTATTTGTAAGAAGGCTGTGCAGGATGGTGACAAATCTGTAATACAAAGGCCTAAAATATAAGGTTTGTTATCATCCGCGAGGAAATAGAATCAACGGTAAATACAGCAATAAGTAAGTCTATAAAAAACGATAATTTTATCAGTGAAATGACAAAACAAGTCTCACAGGCCATAATAAACTCAATCGAACAGAAATTGTTGAAAATAGATAAAGCAGTGGCGGAGATTAAAAATAAACACGATAAAACTAATGAAAAATTCGAAAACAAAATTAAAGAGATAGAAGACAAAATAACTGATGCTGAGAAAAAAAAAATGAAATGGAGATAAAGCTGGACGAAATGGATCAATCGATAAGATCTACAAGTCTAAGAATCTTCAGTATTGCAGAAAAACCAAATGAAAATACAAGCGAAGAGATTAAAAAACTTTTTAATAATTGCATGTCCATAAATCTTTCCGATTCGGATATCCTTTTGTGCTATAGAGTTGGAAAAAGACAGATCAACAAAAGCAGAGGTATTTATTTAAAAATCAAAGACATTGACACTAAGCAAGCGATTTACGGGAAGAAAAAATTTCTGAAAGGCACAGGCATTGTTATACGAGAAGATCTTACCAGTCACAGAGTTAATATGTTAAACAACGCGATTGATAAATTTGGTTTAGAAAATGTCTGGACTGAAAATGGTAAAATATACGTTATAAAAGAATATAAACTGACTATAATAAAAAATAAAAATGATTATACAAAATTTTGTAAATACTGAAAATTGATAGGTAGTCTACAAATTACATGTTTTTTTGTAATTTTGTTATTTTTCTTTAGGTCTTGTAAATAAATTGTTTGCATATGTTA